AGAAAAAATAATTTTCAGGATTGAACAAACTCGAAAAAAGGGTAGAAAACTCAATAAGAAAAACCTGTAAATAAAATTGTATTCGTTGGTGTCTAAGGCCACAGTTGCCATTATCACCTCCAAAACGCGCAGTGCCGACAACTTGAAAAGGCAAAATGTTCTGTAGAATTTGGACCAAATCAAGAACACGCGGCTCGGCGATCCAGTAAAATTAAACGTTGCAGTATTTTATTTCGAATTCTGTTGCCAACAAATTGCTGAATGAAACAAACAAAAAAAAATACTAGCCAACGCAATGCACAGCGGAGCGGAGGTGACATCGCACTGATCGTCAGTTGCAACGGCCCTCGGCACTACAAAAGGCGGTCTCAGGTTCAAACTAATAGAAATGTGTACGTCCACGTGCTAACCGAAAGCGGATTTTAAAAACGCGGGTGTCCGAGCTCCTAGACCTGACAAGTTTTAGAGACAAACCAACAAACCTGTGTGGCAAAAGATAGCAAAACCATGTAACACTATCAATGGGTGAAGCATTCTTTTCAAAATCTAATTTAGATAAGAATGACACCAGTTGTGTACAAATCTGCCTAATTTAGTATCACTTATATTAAACTGCAATGGCGTTTCCATAACTCTCCATAATTACACCCTTCCAGCCTACGAGCCGGTAAAAAAAATTAGAATGTGGCCCAGGTCTAGAAAATGTTGGGAACCCCTACCGTAAAAACAGTGGAGCGGTCATGTAAACCATTTTAGCCGGGTTAACACGGCGAGCGTCGTTAACACAAACGCCCAGACACTGCGTAACAATCACTTTCAAATTTAAACACTGCAATATCTACTGTACGCGATCCACCTTAAGACACTGTTAATACACAGATTCGTTAATAGTATATCAGTGCGAAGAAAACTGTTGGCTTCGAAACCACGAAAATGGCTAGCAATTTATAAGGAAACCGGTGCATACATTGTCCATGGACTAATTTCGCCAAAATTATAATTATGATAATAACAATAATAATAGTTGTAATAATAATAATAATCTCGTCCAAGGAGTCCTACCAAATGTCTATAGATCAAGCCAACGAAAAGTTAAAACCCGCATTGCTCAGGTACTTGAGGAACGGGTCGTTCCCAGTATCCAATAATAATAATTAAATTCAATTCATTTATTTATAAATATATAATAATAATAACTATAACGGTTAAGGTATAAAATAAATAAAACACTGCAGTCTATCGATGCTTACCGGGGGGTCGGGGGTTCGCACACGGCTTGCGGGCAAACCGCTGACCTAAAAGAGATGGTTTCCGTCTGCATGACTGCATTTCAAGATTTCATGTGAGTTCTGACTGAAAACGCAGTAAACCATACAGTGTATGGAAGTTATAATTGATAGAATGTTTTTTTTCCTTACTCCCAGAACGCACTGCGTTCGGCCAAATTTACAAGACTTACATTAAATCGGAAACAATTAAGAGATGAAGTAGGCGTAACGCAAAGCAACAACAACAACAACAACAACAACAAAAGAAAATGGAGAACCAAATGGCTCTTCGACTGGCGGGACATTTCACAATGAGCTTCACCTCAAAACCTCCCTTGAGGCAGAACAAGAAATACTGAAAATGTGGAAGGTATTAGAGCCACAAACTGTACTTGAAACTGCCCATTTCCTGTCGTCAAACTTTAACTAACCTTGCCCAATTACCCAATGTTTTTGTGGTTCTGACGAGGCATATTCGTGCAACACGTGACGCCACGCAGTTCCTATGGGTCTAATAAAACATAGGCCACTTACATAATTTGTGGGTGGGGCTGCCAGAACAGGCGATGGGCCCGAGGCCTGTAGGCGCGATTTGTAAGCACACTAACAAGGGTGAGTCTCCTGGTTACACAAGACACATATTATGTCAACGATACAGCTGCCTACCCCAGAAGTGGGCCTATTACAGTTCAGGTGACTTCCACATACCCTCATATAGCCCGAAAGAGCCAAGACCAATTCAGTTCGACGCTAACGTTCAAAGTTTGTATTTATGCCTCAAAACACGGGACGAACATCTCCTGCACACCTGGCAGTGATAAGCGATCTTTCGTAATTGATCTTAAGGACAGGCATTTAATAATTCAAGTCTGGAAATAACAAGGAGTACAAATATTAGGCCAATTAGTATTTTGACTGGTGTCGAACAGAAAACGTCAGCACACGACAATCAGTGTTTAATATCGTCAATGAGAAGACTTCTTTGTAATCAGCTGATCAATATCTGGGGTCTGAAATATCAGTTAGGACCAGCTGTAGTTAGTTATTTGCAGTTAAAATTACATCTCGGGCTATGCAGAGCAAACTGCTTATTAGTTAATTCATTAAAATCACACTTGGATCCATCGTGAGATACTCTGAAGGCAGAATTAAACAAACAAACAAACGAAAAAACATCACTTTGGATGCGAACGACTAAGAAATTTGACATGAGGAATTTTAAGAGCAAAATTGTACCAACCATGGATGTCAGATAAATAATAATCTTAACTTCAACACGTTTTCCATTTAGCTACAGTTAATTAAAAAGTTTTCCAACGGACTAGGCTTCAATACCCAGCACGATTTAGCTACAGTCAATTAAAAAGTTTCCGAACGGACTAGGCTTCAATACCCAGCACGTGCAGATATTTGTCCCGTCGAGACAGACTCGGAGGCCCACACAAAGCAGATGAGGCTACAGGATCACCACTCATTCGGTCTAATTCCTGCCGAAGTTGAATAAGCGTGGACGAACGGAGATGTTCGTCTCTTAACACTTTACAAGTTTAAATCCCTGCTCGAGGCGTGGAATCTGAGACCAAAGCCGAGCAACTCAAAGTTTAAGAAGCTTCTTAATTTACAGCCGTCATGAAATAGGTTAGGTTAGGTTGGGGAGTAATGCAAACAGAGGAGCCGAGTTCAAAACCAAACTACGGGGATCGGAGTACGTTAATAAGCAGTTGTCTGTTTATTTCTTCGGACAGATAAAATTACTCAGTTAATTACAGTATACAATAAGACAAAGGTAAATTTATTGATTCACAAACAGAAAAGGATGTTAGCTTTTGTGAGCGGCGTGTTTATAACAAGAAGAGTGGAAGGACATTGGAGTGTTCCTTTATTATTATTGCGGTTTCCAGTTCTGAGAAAGTCAGATATGATGAGGAGGCTTCTGGAAAGTGGGTTGGTCCCTGCTGACCGCTGTCATATAACTTCACTTGCCACCCAGGAAGTTCTCAATTGCTTGAGGAAATATCAGAATACTGGTTTCTGAAGAAACTTAGCTCGCTGGTACAATGTGAGAGGCCAGTTGTGGCCTTGTCGGCCGAAGTTCGAATCCTGGCAATCGCACATCGACTCAAACAGCCGACGTAAAGTGATAGGAGCATGAATTGAACACACACTCCATCGCGAGAACACCAGGAGGGATTTTCAAGGCGATTAACATGCGTGAACGTCCTTTAAAATGTAAATCTCTGCCAATCAGAAAACTGCAAAAGTGGAGCTGTACATATTTATGCCTGGCGTCGTGTTTTGGGTCTGCTATACGCATGATGATTGTAAATCAGACTCTTGTTTATAACGGTGGCACTGGACACCCCTCTCAGCCCCAGCCCAGGGGAATTAATTTTTACTCGGAGTTTGAATGCGGCTATTTATGGGTGTCGGGACGGAAAGAGAATTGTTAATAACTAAACCTGACACGCTCTAAACAATGAATGGTGTTCCAAACAAAACCGACATATTGGCACGTCGTTATATGTCGAGGTACAGTTCCTCAAGGCACATGGAAATGCATTCCTATAATTATAGGAACAGAACAGAGTCTGTCCATGGATAGATTAGAGGTGTTTCAAGGAGCTCGACAACAGAACAACACTCTTCAATGCGTGTTACACATTCCGATATCACATATGTAATCAACGATTTGTAATTTTAGGTCCATCACAGGGCGTGAAAACCGTTCACTAACACAAAACACGTCCGGTAGAGGTTTTTCTGCAAATCGGGTGGGATGCTAGTTCTAACCCCCCCCTGTGACGCCACAAATCCGGCGTACCACAGGCCGCTGGCTGTCTAAGGTAAATTGATATCTTTGAAACAGGTTCATTTTTGGCGGCGCTGGGATATACAAAGACAAATACACGCGCGCACACACACATGGAATTCCGAGAGAAACCTCGTTAATAGTCATTTCCGTCCAGTTGTTCACACTGATGTGGTTCATCAGTGTAAGGATCCTCTTCCTCCCTTAACACCTCCTAACTCTCTCTCACTCTCATAGTGTGTTGCTTTGGCCGGTAGGTTGATACACCACCACGGGTCATTCCAGGGCGCACAACATCGTTGTTTCTCTCAACCCCTGTTTAAGAAGATTAAAAAAAACTCGTTTCCTGACATCGCTTCGTTATCTTCTATTTTTGAAAAGAGAAGTTCGAATTCCGAAGTGGAAATATACTTAAATGCAAGGAGACTGCATTATTAGGCCTTGGATTGGACCGCCGGAGAAATCCTGACATTCGTAAGAGGTTAAAAGCGAACAACCTAACAGAAGACGTAAAATCACATCAAAAGAGATGGGTAGACCACCAGGAAAGAATGGACATAAGCCACATGTCCAAACTAGCTTTTCAGGATCAACCCCGGGACGACGGGCCGCTGTAAGACCTAGGAAAAGATGGAATTATCAACAACACCTTGAACTTTAAAGTAACAGGTCTTAGTACCCAACCCTAACGACCAGACTAATAAGAACAATGGCCGAATGTTCATACATTTTAACAACAGCGCTTTATAAGACGAAATTAGTCGCCGAATGTTTAGAACCGACTTTTTTTTCCCCCCGTTTACAATGTTTCAAGTCTAAAAGTAATTATTTAATGTTTCGAATACACACGTACACTTCAGGCCGATATAGGATAACATGCATTTTAAAGTAATCATACCTCTATAATCAAAAATGGTTCAGAAGTCAAAACACAGAATGACAAAATAAAATTGATAAACAATCAAGTACGTACATCCAAACGTCAGACGTGTATTATTAATTACTTTCCGAGAAACTGGGGGGAAAATGACTTGTGTTATAAAGATTATATTTTCAGCAGACACATTTTATAATAGCAAGATAAACTTAAATTTCACCAGATATCAACGCAACCTGTGCCTCACGAATTTTCACTGAACATTACTAAAAATAAATAAATTCCGGTGTCGAAGACACAACAGGGCTGGCTGTACGGTGAGGATGGTACTTACAACAAGGAACAGCAGCTGTACGGCCTGTCAGTACTCACCTGGAAACAAAAAGCAAGAAAAACCCAGTTTAATAAAAATGCCACAGCTCTCTCGTCAGAATCAACAAGCTTGCTTACATTCAGAAGATAAATGTCTTCTGTGGTAGAAATTTACTGACTTTTCAGATGTTCCTGCTGTCTCCATCATCAAACCGATGATCGCAAACACCTCTGAAACGTAGGTAAATTTCTACCAGATTACAAGGCTCAACAACCCAAAAATATTCATATCTGCTCTCATTAAATCATCAAATCCCGTTTTTATATCCTGTTCATTAACATCATCATCGATGTTGTTGACTGTTCGTAGTCTCAGGAGACAGCAGATTAACTTTGGGGATTCTCTCCTACCATTCAGTTCAAAACTTCTCTACCTTGAAACCTAAGATTAAATCAACGCCTAAAAAACTGTAATTTTATCTATAGTACGTGTGTGAAACTTAGTATTTCACTCTGCAGGGGGGGACAACTGTGAATTCTTGAGAACAAAGTGCTGAGGATGATGTGGGACCTAAGGACGACGACATTAACAAAACAGAGAAGACTGCATGCTGAGAGGGGTTCGTAAACTACAGAAAATATCATCAGAGTGGACAAAGGACAGAAGATGAAAATGACGTGGAATGTAACACGCACTGAAGAAATAACAAACGGACACACATACATTTACAGTAGTTAAATCCGGAGACCTGAGTGTGTGCATATTAAAGTATAATATTAAAATGAATCATACATAAACATGGTGTTATGGTATGAACTGGAATCAAACAGCTCATAAGGTGCAGTCCTTATAAAATATATATTTAAACAGCCCTTAAACTCTAATTGTAAAACTCGATCCACTCATTCTTGATTATCCTAAATCCACTCTCCACTCTATTTTGAAATTAGAAATTTGACTGGATCTCCAAGTAATTGGTCACTGTTTGAAGCTGATCACGAGCCGATATTAAGGAACCACGCTGCTTATCTCCACGTATTGTACATACATATTTATATGGAGTGTAGGGGCCTTCCATTCCAACTCCCTGGTAACATCAAACCGAAGATTCAAAATCGCGAATGCCAAAGCCAACAACTGGATAGGATTCTAAGCAAGTTTTCCTACTTTCATCGAAGTGGTTCAGAAACCGAAATATCTGCATGTATTTCTTCTTTCTTCTATTACAGTTACATGTCCGGTTTTTACTACAACAGCCAATACGACGGCCGTGTTCCTGTTATCATAACACGAAGTCCCCACTTCCTGACATCCTACCTCATCCATTGCCTTTCGCGTCTCATAAATAACTGAAAAAGTCAGGACTTCTGTACCGCCAATTTTTTATAAGAACCAAAGAACAGAGGAACAATCTCGTTATTAGATCCACCCCACCCCAGTCTGATTTTGATTGATAACGAACCGAGCCGGCATAAGCTACATTTTAACTAGCTGCACTCGGAAGAACGAGGCGGTTCAATTGAAAGTGTGGTAATATTTGATGAGCACTTTAGACCCTAATCCAATGATGTTCTGTACCACTCCAGAACCGATCTATTGAGTGAGAAACGAGGGGTGGGAGGTGAACTGACGCAGGGTTAAAAAAAAAGTAGGTCTATATCCCCTTGCCACTACATTATTATAAAGTTCATAGGGGGATTATACGTGCGGGTATAACGTGATGGCTGTGCGCCTCAGTCAAGAACATGACACAAAGAATAAGACAGTTAGTGCCAATATAGACGAAGCACTGGACCAGCACACGATCTGCACAAACGACTAATTTCTCTATAGAAAGGACAAACAAACAGCTATGCCAGTGGCACAACATGTAGCACGCATGGAACATAAGTAAAGTAAAGTTTGTCCCACTATACGCCATGTAGGCGCTTGGGGGGAGTGGAGGTATAGCTCCTCTCTTCCTTGACCTCGACACTAGATGGGGGGTGAGTGGTCAGCATCACGCCCCGGCCGGCTTTACCCCCGGGAAAGGACCCCGGTACCCATTGTAGAGGAGGCTGGGTGGGCCCCAGAGCCGGTCTGGACGCAGAGGCTAGAGGAAAAATCCTCTGCC